TCCTGCTGCAGTTCCCTTTCCTCCACTGGTTACCAGAGCCAAGGCTTCAAGGCAGCCTAAGGCCGTCCAAGGCAGAGCTCCCACAAGCCCATCTTCCCCTCGACTGCAGCTGCAAAATCTTCTCCCTCTAGCACTGCCTTTGGTGTTTGTGTGGCTCGGAGAGAAGCTAGTTCAGGGACTTGAGCTGTCAGAAAACCACTGTTAGAGAAGCGTTTTCTGGTTTCACTGAGCTGAGTGAGCTCTCTGCAGACTCGAATGAATGCGAAAGTCAAGAGAGAAGTAAGGAGCACAGCAGCCCCCAGCTCAATTGCACTGGCTGCCGGTGAAGACAGAGACTTACCACGTTTCTGTTTCATTGCTTTACATTTCCCCACACTGAGAGATCACAACTGGCAGCTTGGGTTTGTTATTTGGACCCGTAGGCACATTCTAGGGACAAACAAATACGTAACGTTAGACCAGCGAGGGACAGGTACCTGCAGGCTGGCTAAGGGGTGTCTGCAACAGCAGGAACAAGGAAATCCAAACACAGCTCCCAGTAACACAGAAGCACCGTCGTGCATTTTAGCGATTGACCCGGCCATCGCTGGTGAAGTCTCTGTGTGCAGAGGCTTGGGATACAGACCAGACCCCAACTGGGGGCAGAAGGAACAGGGAAAACGGGAGAGTTCTTCATGAGATCCAGCAGGCGTCACGTCACTTGAGGCTGCTCTGGCTGAAATCCTTAAAGCTACTAATTACAGCCACAACAGGCAAAGCAAACTTGTGTTTGTACAGAAGGGGAATCCAAGCACAAATCACCAAGCAACCCTCACGCTGAACCTCTCCTTTGGCTGGTCTTGGCTGCTCTTTCCCGAGACTCCTTTCCTTTAATTTGCCCCTCTCTGCAGGGATGCACAAAGCAGGCACATCACAACCCTTCCACTGGTGCTGCTGGTGAAGAGGGCTCGCAACACGTGGATTGCACCGTGCTGTCCGGTGCCTTGCACGTGACCTTTCCTCAGCACCTAGCAGTTGACAGCTCTGCCTCTGTCCCATTTTTTAGCTTTAGATGAGAGGCCCTTGTGCACGTTATCCCATGCGAGTGCCATGCAGGTCGCGTCGGCTGTCTGAGAGAACTCACTGCTACTTGTTAAACGTACTCATTATCCTGCCGTGACACCCAGTCACAACGTTGGCAGCAACCCCCACCCTGAGCGTATCTGTCTGCGGCTCCTGGATGCCCCTCAGAAGATTTGTTTCATTTTTCTTACTGAATGTCCTGATCATGCATCAGCGGAACTGATGATTTAGCATCCACTGAATGATCCCAGGCGATGGCACGGATCGATCTGCTTTACACTCGTGTCTGAGGTGCTGATGGAACAGCTTTTCAAGTCAGCTTCCCAAACAAATGCAAAGCATTGCAAATAAAGCCACAAGAACACAATCCCCACCCAAAGACTAACCAGCACCCACGAGAGCACAGCATTTCAAGGGCCAATCTACATGACAGCCTTTGCCTCAACAGATTTCCTGCTACCTTATAACAACGACAACCGATAATAGCAGTTATCAACACTGCTATTCCCTGGCACGCTGTAAACAGACAGCAGGAGAGAATAGAACAACTCTTGTTAATCCTCTACATGACTTTCCAACATGGCCGTTCACAGAAAAAAATAGATTAATTCAACTTACTTCAATTTTTCTCATGACCAACAGCCCATCGACAATTTTACCTAGAGTAAGAAAAATGTATCCACTTCAATATGGCCCCTTTTCCCTTTTGCTCCCTCCCACTCATCACAGGTACGTGCATTTTTGCTCCTCCTGAGAGGTCTCGTGCAGTGTATAGCTACTGGGCACTTCAGGGTTTGTTATCCACCTCTAAACTGATAAAGGCAACGATCCCTCTTAAAACATTTCCCACATTCCGAACAGATCTAGTGCGTTTTCCCATCGCATGTGTGGAAATCTGGGTGTCGAGACCTACCACCACCAGCTGTGCTGACACAGAGCACGAGCTACCTCTCCATCAGCTCCACCTTTGCAGTGATGCCAAACCGGCAGCAAAGGGTGTCAGCATTAAGTCGGAGGGAACAGGACACCAGCTTGAAGGCTGGCCCCGAAATCCCACTGCTCAAGTGGCAGTGTGCGAGAAGTCAGCGGACGTGGTTTCAGAGAATCACCACCTAAAAACCCTGCTGAAAGCTCAGCCCCCTCTGCCATCCTTCACTCATCCGTCCCTTCGGCACCGGCACAAGGATCTGTGCAGTAATGTGACACAGCGCTCAAGGAACCGACCTGGATTAAAGCTAACCTGGGAAAAATTGTTTCATTTCCACAGCAATCCCTCTCAGCATCTGGCTGCACAGGTACCTCCACCAGCCCAGGCGAGAGGGGAAGAACAAGCAGTCCGTGGCTGTCTGTCCAGCAGCTGCGCCACACGGAGCGCCCGTCAGCTGGTACACAGGTCTCCGCTGCGGGTACTCACCAAACACAACATGTTTTCCATCCAACCAGTCACATTTGGAGCACGTAATGAAAAACTGGCAGCCATTGGTACTTGGACCACTGTTTGCCTGGGGGTTGAGAATGGCAAAATAGGAAAAGCGTACAAATTAGGACTTCCCAAAACCGAAGGCAGACACATCTCACATAGGAAAGAGCCGCTGCTCTAGACCCAGCCTGGCTTATTTTTGGCTTACTGCTACACAAACCAAAGAAGCAAGAGCTGCAGGAGAGTACCAGTGCTGGGACGTGGCATGCCACCAAGTCCAGTCATGCCAGGGCACACGAAGCCGTGCCATCCATTTCCTACTGTACTTCTGCGAAGGCACGTTCTGCACAAGACTGTGCTGAAGTCTGGGTCTAGAGCACGCTCCTGAACAAAGGCTAGAATTTTTGGCAATGAGTACTTACTGCTGCAGTATTGTCCCAGGGAAAAGTGAAAGCCAGGGCAGAAAAAAAAAGAAGCTGTTTTCTGCTATTTGGAAGATTTCCTCAGAATAAAAAAAAAATTAAAAAAACCAGGTGTCTGTTCTGATGATCAGGATGAGAAAGGTAACAGTCATATGGGCACGGGGTTCACAGAACGGTGTTATGCAGATGTGAAATTTCGTACACACCCAGGTACAACACCTAGAGCATTTGCCCTCTGCTAAAAAAACATCCCTGCAGCGCTTCAGCCCGTTTCAGTTTTTCAAAGCTCTTCTGACAATCAGGAGGCACTAAAGCATGTTTCTGTGCTGACAGTGAACTGGGCAAGTTCTTCCTACAATGTTGAACAGGAAGCGTATTTTCTAAAAGGTATATGGTAATGCTGCTATGGCTCTGAAACTCCCAAATCTCTTTGTTTCATCCTTTCTGAGGCTGGTGATTGATAACAGGATCAGGGAACAAAAAGCACCTGTAAGAATCAAGCTATTATGAAGGCTGATCAAAGCCCGCCCCAGAAGTCCAACAGGTAAAACGTAAGGATGCTGCAGGAGGAGGACTTTGTGTTACTCAACACATTAACCCACGAGCAGCCTTCTGACTAGCACTTACGAAGCAAGTATCCAATGGTGGAGGTTTCTGGCAAATCACTTAGACACTCAGGAAAAGGGCACAGGGAAAGTCCCACAAGCTTTTTAGCATCACCATGTCATTGTTTTATACTCACCATAGAGAGCAGCCCAGGAGCAGAGTGCTTTAGCTTAAAGTTTTCATCTGCAAACGGACCCCTGTATATACTGGCTACTCCAGTGCCGTCCCCCTGCGTGAGAGAGGTGCCCAGTCAGCCACAGCAACTGCTACAGAACAATTTAAAAACTCAGTTTACAATCCCCAAGCAAAAGGACAGGGTTACACTCAGCTCAAAATGCTGTACTGCCACCTATATACACCAGCAGCAAACATTCTCAGCAGTTCGGGTCTGAAGAGGAACAGCAACTGGTTTCTAACCACACAGTACACCGTCTGCCGGCTGTATGTTGGCAGACACCCGCAGAGATGGGTGGGATTAAGTCAGAGGCTGCAGATTGCTTGGTATGGACCCTCCTCCTGGACTTGGCAGGGAGAAGGGAGGGGATGTATGGGCTGGTGTGACAAGGAAAGCAGAAGTGGCTGTGTGGAGAAAGTCAGCCGACGGTACACTTAGTTATTTCACCTTGTTTTCTGTGATGTCAATGGAAACAGGGAAGGGATGTCTCTGTTCACAAAGGACAGTTTCTAAAACACAGAGTTTCTAATTTCTGCTGTACTTTCTGCCCAGTCAAGACATCTTGTACTCAACTACAAGCCCTAGCCCTCAGATCTCAAGACACTCGTAAATTAAAGCAGCATGGCCCGTAACAGCTGCAGATGGCAAGCTCTGACTGCTCACAAGCGTGGAACTTTGCAGAAGCCTGACGCGTGGCTCACGGAAGACGTGTAGGACCGTTGAAAGGTGCCCTTTGGCCCAGCGTTGCAGAGACACACCTGTATGATGCCAAAAGGACGGGACCCTTCACCACAACGGCCTTAGAGATGCTGCAGTGAGGAGCCCTTCAGGGAGAGCTGTAGAAGCAATGCACACAGGTATCTCTGGCACGGTCAGCAAAATTTACTATTCTGACAGTAATTTCCCTTTCTCTGTCGCTTCAGCCTCCTTTCTTCTGCCTTACTGCAACCTGTCTCCCTTGACTGCCTTTCCTCTTAACATACTCGCTCCTTATTGGGCCAAACTTCAAAGGAAAACACGGTGCCAGTAATATACCATGTGCAGCTCCACATCTTTCGCTCTGCTCGCCTAGCCCTTGCTTCTTTTCCTCCTATTCTCCATGGCTTACTTAAGACTGTCAGCTCTGAGACAGGAACATATACCCCACCTTAGTGGTCAGTGTGACCATTCCCGCTGCCTAAGCAGCTTTGTAGGGAGTGTAATTTAAAAATTACAAACACTGGTGCAATCTGTAATGCTTCTTCAGCTTTAGTGGGAGTAATAACACCCACTGGGGCACGTGAGCAGCATCACAACTAGCGACTACCTACAACTCTGACATGGTCAGTTCTCTCAGTGACTTTCATATAGCCAGGTTTCACAAACTCGGTATTAAAAAAAAGCTTTGTCGCCCCCCCTCATCTTTTGAAACACTTCCAGGAATGAAATAATTTTACTGAGCCCTGGAACAGTGAATACACCCTGTGGTCCCCCAGCCTTCCCCATATATTCTGCTTATCCCTGGCTCAGAGCATGACCACTGCTGCAGGTGCAAAGTCTTTTCTATTTTGAGACAATTCACTAACAAAGAAGTTAGTTTTGATTTCAACTCTCTTGCACAAGATACCTCGTTCTGTACTTAGGGTCCCCCTCCAGAAAGCTAACAGAAACTCGCAGTGTGGGGCACGGACAACAGGGTAAAAATTACCTCTGCAAGTCTGAGAAGCCTCTGCCTGTACTGCCACGGGGTTTTTTAAGAGAGGAAATACTATGGGAATGAGAAGGGATGTTCACTCCAGATTCCAGATTTGTTTTCAAGTACACTACAGTCAGCTGCAGCAAGATGGCAGCAACACTATGAGGAAACCTCCAGTTACTACTGGGCACCTCAAAAGAGCCAACAGGTCCCATAAATCAGCATGGACCCTTGGAAACAGTTGCATATTATACTATGTAGGAAAAGTACAAAAGGAATACAGAAGTACATACATTTACAAAGTCACCTCCTTGGATCATGAAATCCTTTATTACCCTAAAAAAGTAACACAACACTTAGTTCCCAGTAGAAAAATGCCTTAAGAAGCTTAATACATGATAAAAAGAACTTCTGTCTTGCAGCACAACAAAAGTTATCAGGGTCTGTGAATGCTACAGGCTCAAAGCTACAATAAATATTAACGACGGGTCCCTGTCAGGTAATTTGGGACCCACTGCTGTTCAACCAGGGACAGAGATTAGGTGCCAGGTGCCAGGAAATTATCTCTGACCTGGCACACCAGGAACAGGGAATCCCTCCCAGTGACCCCATGTACACACCTACCTGACAGCACCCCTGAGTCCCCCAAAGCTACAGAAGGATGGTATTACCCGTGCCCTACAAATGCCACCCAGACCATTACCACCTTTGAGGCAGGTCTCAAAACCACATCTAGCTCAGGCTGCTATTTAAGTGCCTCAACAAAAGCAGGAGAATTACCTGTGGAAAGTGCTTCCTTTATAGCCTATAGGGACACCATCTTTCCTGCAAGGAAATAAGAAGGAAAATCACTGCATCTTACTTGCTATCCCAACACAAACACCCCCAGGAGTTCAGAGTCCCAGAGGGCTTCCCCTCTATATCAGCACCTGCCTTGACATACAACCAAGCGCTGCAGCCTGGCTCTCAGCTGATGCTACCAGAGGCCAGGGGAAACTTGGAGTGGGCTCTGTACGTTACGTGACACGGTTCCCTACAACATCTATCCCATCACCTCAACGGGATCCCACTGCATCCTGCAGCAGGAGCAGGTGGGATTTTCAGACAGGCATTTTTAGAGCAACCTGAATGTGAACCAAGTCATGCCCAAAACAGAACGTCTCTCATCTCCGTGACCAAG